CCGTTGACTGGTTCGATCTTCCTGCCACTGAACTCACGGAAGAAGCAAAAGCTGATCTGGAACTGCTTCAAATGCGTGCTGCTATTGATCCCCTGGCATTTTACCGAAGGAACGACCGCAGCGTCTTGCCCATTGTCACTTCCAGTAAGTCAGCGTTTTATTTATTGTTCGCCCTTTTTATCCATCGTTTTTATATGGACTGATTAATTTGCGCCTCTATTATCTTACACGATTAGATGCGGAAGTGATGTAGTGACAAGTGGCGCGCTTTCACTCGCGCGGTCCTGGGTTCGAATCCCAGGTCGACCTCCCAGGCCAACCAAGCCTTCTACCCTCCGGGGACGGTAAATTGGTACCAGATTCGTCTGGGAGGATAAAACACTGACTTGTACATCGGCTGGCCACCGCAAGTCATTGTATAGGCCACATCGCATTCAATAAGCCACTACGATTCTGAATGGAAGTAGAATGCGTGCCGCATCCCACAAAGGGATTGATCAACGGCGAAGACTTTATCCTTATCCTTTATCCTTTATTATCTTACGATTATCTCACACCGTGCTGCCACACCACTACTTGTAACCTTTTCTGGCAGTATTCAGATGTTGCATTTACTTTGGAAACTTAATTTATAGGTTTCCTTTCGACCTCAACTTCTTCTTCAAACATGGTTCCATTATACTGAGATTCCATTGCTCTCTTAGATCGCCTCGTTATCGCTACTCTTGTCACTCTTTCCACAGGCAACTTGATGAATTGAGAATTGTAACTTAAAAATTTAGGTTGGACGTGTTGTTGATGCTCCCCAAGATTTCTATAGCAGTCGTATGACCAAGAAAGAAAGAAAGCGGACGATGTTGGACGAATTGCTTAGTGATCAGCGGCTTACGCAGTCAAAAAGAGAAAAGTAAGTTTTTTCTGGTTTCCGTTCGGCTTTTCTTTTATAGGATGCCTGCACTCGCATGATTAGGTAGAAACATACATGAGCTTTTTACTGCCGCTGAGCATTTAATATTGATCATGTTTGTCTTCGCTTTGCTGCCTAAGCACGTACAAGAGGGGTTTTAAATCGGATTTCAAATCTTCACTAGGCGCTTCTCGGAGCAGCATGAATGTAATTATATTCAGTCGTAAAATGGAAAATTTGTATTCCCTACAACAGTTATGCTGTAAGAATGTCATGAGTTATAACTGGATGGGGCAAAATTGCTGGTGCAACCAGTATTTTGATGCAACTTTGGAATCGCAGGTAGGAAACAAATTCTTTTCTTTCCAATTTTCAACCAGTTTTACTATTATTTATATTAGCTTGTCCCATAAACCTCGGAAAATTCCACAATAACTGCTATATAAACTCTCGAAAAAACCTAAAAATTTTAAAACATTGCTGCTTGTTACACACCCTGAAATTCCTTGATTCCGACCGGCTATTCAGCTCTTTAACTAGACGCTTTTGTGGCTGCTTATTCGCTTTTGTTATGTCCCATGAGGGCTTCACTTCCATAAGTTCGGCTTAGGATTGTTCGAATAGTGGGCTCACGACCAGTCTTTGAAGCGCTGCAAGGGTCACGCCCTCACCCCACGGCACACCCTTGTTATAGTCTGTTCTAAGAAGGCTCTTCTTATACGAAGATCATTCACTTACTGGCTGCCTCATGACTACTGTCCACGTTCTTTACGACAGTGCGGTAACTTCAGTAGGCGAACAACGAGACACTGTACCTTGAAGGAGCCGTAAATAAATCTGGGTGCACACCTAAACACAGTATCTCACGACAGCAGCGTCGAAATTGCCTGGGGAACGTACGTGTTGCGATGCGAAGGAGATCCAAAGAATTAGAACGATTGCATGGGATTAGAACAGTTGCATGGAGTAGTGTTCGTAAGATCTATAGGCCCTTGGATGCTCCAATACATCATTTTTGTTTATAAATGTACTTGTATAATCGGGTTTCAATGGCACTCATCAAAAATAGTCCGCGTTTGGGTCAGAATTTCTCATAACATTGCAGCGGAGTCCTTTACGCATTACTGAGGCATCTTGTTGAAGCATGTTCCAGATGAAATGTCACGAGACTTCCCCGAAAACTC